TGACTCCCCAGCCACAAAATTAGAGCAAAGGTAAAAATCGACATCAGGTCAGAAGAAAGGGCGAAGATGAGGAGATGGCTCAGTGAGTTCAGTGACACTTGGTCAAAGGAGCCATCGATGCTCTAAAAAGGTTGGGGGGGATGGAAAAAGGCAGAAATATCGACCTGGTTAATCATAATATCACCTAAAAATTTAACTGAGGTAAAGCAGCTGCCTTATCAAGAAAGCCAAAGGACCTCAGGGAGCAGCTAGGTGGTACAGTGAATAGAGCACCGGCCCCAAAGTCAGGAGGACCTGAGTTCAAAATCTGGCTTCAGACCAAACACTTGACACTTAACTAACTAGCTGGGTGACCCTGGGCCAGTCACTTAACCCCAACTGCCTAAAAAAAAACCAAAAACAAGTCAAAGGAGCTCAGAAATAACCTTAGCCAGCAAACCGTTCGTTGCCTTTGTAGGAGCATAGATTTTGAGCTAGAAAGGACCTTAGTAGCCAACAAATTCAACCCTCTTCGTTCGATAGCTGAGGAAACTGAGACAAAGCAAAGTGAACTGACTTGAGCAGGGTCACACAGCTAGTAGGTCCTGAGGCAGGATTTGAACCAGGTCTTTGTGATTCCCAGTATGGTGCCCTATTTTTTTCTTTTTATTAATTTATTTTTAGTTTTCAACAATCACTTCTACAAGCTTTTGAGTTTTAAATTTTTCTCCCCCTCCCTCCTCACCTCCCTCCCCAAGATAGTGTGCAATCTGATATAGGCTATACATATACATTACTATTAAACATATTTTCACATTAATGATGTTGTAAGGAAGAATCAGAACCAACAGGAGGAACCACAAGAAAGAGGGAAAAAAACAAAATAAAACAAAAGAGCCAGTAGTATGCTTCGATCTGCATTCCAACTCCATAGTTTTCTCTAGATGTGGATAGCGTTTTCCATCATGAGACTTTTGGATTGCTTTGCTGAGAAGGGCTAAGTCTATCAAAGTTAATCAACAGTGCCCTATCTTCTATACCATGCTGCCTCTCTATGGGCAGCAAGGTGGCTTAGTGGATAGAGTGCTGGCCCTGGAGTCGGGAGGACCTTAGTTCAAATTTGATCTCAGGCATCTAACAGCTGTGTGACTCTGGGCAAGTCATTTAACCTGGTTTGCCTCAGTTTCCTTATGTGTTAAATGAACTGGAGAAGGGAATGGCAAGTCACTCCAGTATCTTTGCCAAGAAAATCCCAAATGGATTCCTGAAGAGTTGGCCACGATTAATCGACAAAAACAATAAAGTCGCTTCTTTCTTTAAGTGATGTGGCAGTCAAGGGCAACACCAGTTTAGACTAAAAATTCATTTGTAAAACACTGCAAACAAATATGGCGGAAGATCACAAGTAGTACTGTTTCACATAATAATGGAAAACAATGAAATTAAAACCAAGTATACAGAAATCTTCTCCTGAGATCCCCTTAAGTTATATCAACCCAAGAGCATAAAAAGAATGGGGAAAAAAAGCCACATAATATTATTACCTTAAAAAGGCGACTGAAAGAACATCAATAACTGATGATGCATATACTTATCCTTCCTTATAAAATCTTTATCAAACAACTAGTAAATGTTATGTACTAGGCACTGAGTTAGGTACTGGGGAGTAAGGGGGTAGCATAAAGACAAAAATGGAATGGTCCCCACCCTCATGGAGCTTACTCCCCTTATAGGGGAGACAAAAATACATATTTAAGTCCATAGAGAATATATACCAGGTGGTTTTGGGAGGTAGGGCACTAGCAACTGGTCGGGGGAGACAAGAAAATCAAGAAAAGCATGTAGAAGATGTTGTATGAGCTGCTTCTTGAAGGAAGCAAGGGACTCCAAGAGGCAAACATGAGGAGTAAAGGCATTCAAGGCAAGGGTCACAGCCAGAGCAAAGGGATGGGAGATAGAGTTCCAGGTGTGAGGAAGCACATTCAAGCCAGCTGGCCAGCCTGTGGAATGCTGGGAGAGGATTAACGTATAAGAAGATTGCAAATTTAGATTTGGACCAGGTTGTGAAGGGCTTCACATGCCAAAAACAGAGGAATTTATGTTTTATCCTTGATGGCGACAGGGAACCCGCTGGAGTTTACTGAGAAGAGGAGTGACGTGATCAGACCTTAATAAAATAATTTTGGCAGTTGTATAGAGGATGGACTAGAGGCGATCTAAGGCAGGCAAAGCATCTAGACCTGCTGTAATAGTCCAGGTGAGAGGTGGTAAGAGCCTGCATGAGGGTGGTGGTCATGTGAGTAGTAGGAAGTAGTAAGAAGAAGTCAGTGAGAAATGTTGAGTCTAAAAGACAAGATTTGGCAACTGACTAGAAATGTGAAGTGAGGGAAAGTAAAGAGCGGAGGGCAGCACTGAGATTGGGTGACTGGAAGGATGGTGTTGTCTTTTTCTGAAACAGGAGAATTCAGAAAAAAGTAGGCTTCTGAGAATAAATCACAAATGTATTGATGGCATTCTTTTAAAAAATTTTTTTTAAATTATGAAGCATTGTTTTCTCTTTCCCACTTCCCTTCTCCAACTGGAAATGAATAAAAACAAAACTCTTTTTTTTTAAACAAACATGCATAATCAAAATAGATCCATACCCATACTGGCCATATCAAAAAATATATATTGAGGACATTCTTGACGTAAACATGGAAAAGGAAGCAGTTGGCTTTCACAAACAATGTTCTATAGCAGGCCACATTTCTATTGTAACAAAACTGACTTAAAGAGGCAGAGACTTGAGTCTCCCATGCGCACGTTGAGGTCACACCACAGTTCTCATATCCTTTCTTTTCTCTCCACTCATGTGATCACAAGTCTAGTTCCAGCCTTCATCACCACTCCCTTGGACTATTGCAATGACCTCCCAAATGGTCTCCCTGTTTCTAGTTTCTCTTCTCTCCAACCCAAATCTTATAGCTGTCAAGTTAATATCCCTATAATACAAGCCTTTAGCATACTGGATAGATTCTCTGCGAGAATCTATGGGACAATATGGTCAAAAATTATTTAGTGTGCAGTGCTGAAGAACCAAGGCCACAGGCTGATTCCCATATGGACTGCTTAGCTTTGTTCTGTTCTGAAGCCACTGACTGTACCTTTCATTCCATTTATCTGTCCTGAAAATGTGTGCCTTCCCATAAAAGAAATCGGTGAAACTATGAACAGATTTGGGGCTCCCATCATCTTTATATGTTCAGTTAAATAATTTATCAAACATGTCAATTAAGGTTTACAATGTGCCACACATATGTCAACTCACTTGATCCTTGCAACAAACCTGGGAGTTTGGTTTTGATGTTATCCCCATGTTACAGAGGAGGAAACTGAGGCAAGAGAAATTAAGTGACTTGCCCAGGGTCACACAGCTAGTAAGTCTCTGAGACCAGATCTGGACCAGGTCTTCCTTACTCCAGGCCCAATACTCTGTCCACTGCTCCATCTCCTACGGCTGATGTTGGCTTCTTTCCAGCAGTGTCAGTGCAGGGTCATCCTTTTATTGACTTGGGAACCAGCTTTAAGTCAATGAAATGTTATAAATGTTTCCAGACTAGTGGAAATACTATGCACATGAGCACAACTGGTCTATTCATGAACAATCAGTGTACTAGAGGACAGACTAAATTTCAAACATTTGAGAAATATTCCTGTTTTCAAAGCAATGATTTTATTTTGGGACATATTTTTAAATTCATTTTTATCCTAGATACTTTACTTTAAAATTTCAAAAATATGTATAATGACCACAGCCCCATTTGTACAATCACGAGGTAGACTAGATAATTTCTTTTTTTTTTAAAGACTAAATGATTTCTTTTCTAGCTGTGACAACAATCTATGATTTAAAGTGACTTTGTTAAAGGATTCAGAAGAGGGATGGGTAGGAGTTGGGGGACCCTAGGGCAAATCCTGACTCAACCAGTATGACCTCCCCAAAGTCACCTCACCTCTCTTGGAATCTTAGTTTTCTCTCTCTCTTTTCTCTTTGGCAAGCGATGGGGTTAAGTGACTTGCCCAGAGTCACACAGCTAGTGTTATTTGTCTGAGGCCAGATTTGAACTTAGGTCCTCCTGACTCCGGGGCCAATGCTCTCTCCACTGTGCCACCTAGTTGACCCTCTTAGTTTTCTCTTTTATTAGATGAGTGCACTAATCATGCCTCCCTTAGCAAAGTCACAGGGGTATTATAAGGATCAAATTAGATAATCTAGCTTTAAAAAGCTACAAAGATGATCCAGTTATAATGAGTTAATAAATAATAATGATATTGGTTCTCAAGAAGCTTAATAGTCTGTGCCTGTATTGACATTTTGTTTTTCATAACATTTATGTCATGTACCTTCCTTTCAACAACCCTGTAAGACAGTCATATAAAAATGATTATCCCCTTTTTTCAAAAATGAGGAAGATGAGAGTTTAAGTGACTTGCCTAATAACACACAAAGCTAGTTAATGTCTAAAGCAGAATCTGAATGAAGGTTGCTGACTCCAAAATCCACTACTCTGTCCCAGGTGTGGCCCTCTAGGTCCTCAAGTGCAGCCCTTTGACTGAATCCAAACTTCACAGAGTTTCTATTCTATTCTATTCTTTTTCACAGAGCTCTATCCATTAGGCTACGCAGCTTCCTTTATATAGGTGGTGGCTGCCACCCTCAGTAGAGAGAGCAAAAAAGTGAAATAGACAATAATCAGTCATCATTTTGCCAGGTTCAACAAACACTCCAGTCTAATGTTAGTGCTAATATGATGTTTAATGTGCTCACAGTCCTAACGATGAATGCAGTCATCAGTTAAATTTCACGTTCTTTCAAACAGAAGAGTCCACGTAGATTAAAATCTATTAATTAGCCAACTGCCAATGAACATCAGAGTTGTAATACTGCACCAAATACTTGTGGGAACTTGAGAAAAGTAAAAGAAACAACCCATACGGAGCTCAGGATCGGAAGAACATCACTTTGCACCTTAACTTACCTGTGATCTGCGTTGTTTTTCTGCCTTCCGTTCCACAATCTTCTGCTCACAGCAGGAGGAGGAGGAGAGGAAGGGAGGGGTGGGGGAGGCAGCGAGGGCAGGGGAGGCAAGTTCCTCTTGTCCCTCCTGAAGCTGGGGGTCCGGCTCCATTCCTCGACTACTTCTCCTTCGTGTTTGAAAGTTCGCCTGGGTTTGGGCAGTGGGTTGATGAAAGGCTTTGGGGGGGACGCCTCCGACCCCTTATAGACGTTCTCTAGACTCTGGTCCCAAGGCCTCCTGCATGGCCCTTTTACTTCCTCCACAGTCTCAGATGGGGGCTCCTTTGCTTCCAAGTCCAAGTTAATGAGTCTCTTGCTAAGCTCAGAGCCACACCCCCCCCCATGAAGCCCCTCATCTGCTCTCTCTGGCAAGCAGTGAGGTGAGTAATAAGTACCTGGTAACTGGGGATGCAAGTCTGCTGCTCCCTCCTTCAAGACCTGTTCCAGTTTCTTTACTTGCCTTAGCACTGACTGGCTATCTTTCTGAACCTGCGGTTTTCCCAACTTCTCTCTCACGCCCGCAATGCTAAGATCCGAATCTCCATCCTTCTCTGTCAAGTCCTGCCTTCTTCTCTCTGTGCCTTGCCCTCTGACATTCGTTGTCCCTGCATTTCTTTCGCTTTCCTTGCTAGTGGGCTCCTGGGCTGGTGCGTTCTTAGCTCCCACCTTCTTTATCTGCACACTGTCTCTACTTACTTTCTCTGGGAGACAAGATGCCTTGTATTTCCCTTGGCTTCCCTGCCCGTCTTCCTTCTTGCCTATCAGAGGAGCTGACAAGTCCTTCTTTCCTTCCCATTCAGAAATCTTGTCCTTTATGCTAAGAGAATTGTGTCGAGCACTGGCCCTCCCAGTGGGGCGGGGGTTCTGAGCGATACTCCCCTGCCTCCTCATAGCCCTGCTGACTTCCTTGGAGCTAAGATCCACGGCTGGGTCACTGATGAGCATTTTGGGGCTGAGCATATTCTGAGGAAAACAGTCAAGTCTCGGCCCCAGCATCAGATCGTTTAGTGGTTCTGGTGGGCTGCTTCTAGTGGTTAGATCCCGATCAGTCTCTAGGAATGGACCAGAGTGGCTGGAGACATCCAGAGAAGAGTAATGGCTGGAGGCTGTGAAGGAGCTCCTCCCCAGTTCTTCTACCGCCTTTGGATTTGCAAGCTTGACCCTGCACAGCAAAGACAAACATCAGTAAGGGAGCTGTCCTTATTGTCTCATTCTTGGTTTAGGTCATTGAAAATCGTCTGGGCCTATAAATGTTTGGTTTTTGTATCCCTAGTGCCTAGAACAGTTGGATGGGATGGGCCAAGTGTCAATCACCAACATTAAGACAACCGAGTTTTACTTACTGTTCTGAGTTTTTCTAATTTGTTGTTTGGTATTTTTTCTCCCTGTAGGGAGAGGGCTGTTTGGGGGAAGAGAGAGATTGTACTGGTCTCAGTTTAAACTTCTAACAAAGGGGTTTGAAAGTTGCTCTGATCCATGTGGTTATTTAAAAATGAAAACAGTATTCCTACGGGTAGAATACTGGCCAGGTTCAATTGGAAAGAACTAGGGTTACTATACTAAGAACCAAATTTTAGTATGTTGTATGTGACTTCACATGTATAAAGGGTGTAATAATAATAATAATCTTGCTTGCCTTCTCTGTGGGTGGGGGATGGGCAGAAAGGAGGGAGAGAATTTGGAATTCAAAATTAAAAAATGAATGTTAAAAAAAAAAGTAAACATACAGAACCAAATTTTAGGCATGATCCATAAAATCGCTATGGGAATTTAAAATATTTTGATTTTAATGGTTAAAGTTTTGAGACTTTCACATAAGTTCTAGGAATTGTCCTAAAAGAAAATGGCCACAGAAACAGAACGCGCAGATTTATATAGTTTTGGATTTACTTTCATAAGAAATAATAACATATTAGGCTACAGCATAAGACTCACTTGTGTTTTTTCAGTGCAGTAGGGTCTTTCACTAGTAATGTCCATGACTGAAGATATATTGGCATCAGTTGTGCTATGGGCCAAAAATGTACAGAGGCTGCTCTATGTATATGTCACTGATAAAGACAGAACTCTAGCTAATGTCAAAAATAGGGGAAGGACAAGCAGACTTGGAACTGGGTTAGAATCTAGATTCTGCTTCTTACTGTGTATTTGTGACCTTGGGTAAGTCCCATAATTAACTCCTCTGCAGCTCAGTTTCCTCATAAGGAAAATGTAGGGGCTGAATATCTAATCTAATGTCCAATGTCACCATTAGTTCTAAATCCTATGATTCAATAAATAACATGTTCACTCACTATTCCCCAGGACAGTCTCGATAAAGTACAGGTTTCTGCTTTGATTAGGGCACTGAGCATCCAAAAAAGTGTGCTGCTGAGCTCAGCTTCTGAATGTAAATTAAAAATGTGGAAATGCGCATACTTTGTCATATTTTACTCAAGTCAAAGCAGAAGGTCTTAATTTAAATGAATGACTGGTCTTCAGAACAGAAAGTTAAACAGAAACACAGTGTATCAATTAATAAGGCTTAATAGGTCTAGCCTCACCAGGTACGTTAGTTGGGCTGTAGACTTTGACTACATTCACCAACATCAGCAGCAAACAATTATTGAGCACTAACCGTGTGTAGGGAAGTAGGGATATAAAGAAGTAAACGGTCAGTCCCTTGTAGTCAAGGAGCTTACCATTTACTTGGGCAAACCAAGCATATATTAAATGGTAAAGAATAATACAAATATGCCCATGCTAAACACCAGACTTTCAGCACGCAATACTTGTCTGTACAACTCGTATATATTGTTAGTATACGATACTATAATAACCGGAATGATGATTCGACTATTGAAGCTCTATTTCCGTAGTGTGGAAGAAAGAATATTGCTCATAAAAGGGGTTATAAAGGTGAAAAGAGTGGGGAGAAGGGCAAGGAAAAGTGGAATGTTCTCCTTTTTCTTAGCACAGAGCAACTGCATAAAACAGAGTATGTTTCCTGGACTCCTGTTTCTGGAACCCTACATTCTCATGAGGGGATGTGGCCAGGGGCAGCGCTCAGGTGGTGCAGTAGACAGAGTGCTGGGCCTGGAGTCAGGAAGACCTGAGTTCAAAAATGACTTTAGACACAATTGTACGACATTAGGAAAATCACTTAACCCGATTTGCCTCAGTTTCCTCATTTGTAAAATGAGCTGGAGAAGGAAATGACAAAGGAAAATGGCACTCCAATATCTTTGCCAAGAAAACCCCCCAAATGGGGTCATGAAAAGTTGGACACAACTGAAAAACAACTAAACAATGGTCAGTCTCCCACACAATGGAAATATAGCTATTGAGGGTTCAGACGTTCAACTAACTTGTAGAATCTTAGAAGGTATTTAAGGGAAGGGATATGATATATGAGGAAGCAACAGAAGAGGTGGAAGAATGGAATGTGCCCAAAAAGATCGGGGGGGGGGGCAGTCACGGGAGAGAAAAGAGAACAAGCATTTATTAAGCACCTATTGTCAGAACCAATAAATGCCCAGAGTCAATGAAGCACCTACTAAGTGAAAGGCACTTTGCTAAGCCCTTTCCAAATATCTCATTTGAGCCTTACAATAACCCTTCGAGGTAGATGCTATTATTATCCCCATTTTTACAGTTGAGGAAATTGAGGCAGACAGAAGTTAAATGTCAATTATAAATGTCTGAGGTCAAATTTGAACTCTAGGTCCAGTGATTAACGTAGCACAGATGGTAGCTTCAAATTAAAACACAATAATGGAACACGTGAATAGGAATGCAGTGTGAAGACACCTATTTCTTCTCTGCCCCAATTCCCCTTGTTGAAATCCTACTCATTTTTTTTTGTAAGACCCAGCTCTAACTGCTAATTCCCCTAGAGTTTTCCAGTTGGAAATATCTCCCTCTTCAGATCCCTCATAGTACTTTGCTGGTACTTCTCTTATGTACTTCCCATATTTTATTATATACCATCTTCACCACCTTGGAGATTTAATTTAATGAAATGGTAAGATTCTTGGGCATAAGAAACTGTGTCTTATTCATCTTGATATCTTCCAGTATTGACTGTGGGGAGTGAAAGAGGAAATGTACCTTGTCCATGAGAGACACATAAATATTTGTAGATTTTAAATTCTCAGTACTGATCAGACCAGGTTTGATTAAATTAAAGAAGCGGAAAACAAGATGATTCACAAGATGTTTAAAAAGGTTTAAAATGCCCAGAGTCAATTAAGCAAACCAAATGTTTACACTAAAAATATTAAAAAAGGTAGAAAATCAGACTTATGAAATTAAAGGAAGTGGGATTATTCTGCGTAGAATTGAGAAGGGAAGTAGAACATGGGAGGAGGTCAGGATTCTGGCCATTTTACACTCCCAAAAGGAAAAAAAAATTCTCACTTGTTAACAAGTTTGTAGTTCGACTTTTCCATCTGGCTGTTGCTCCTGGTCTCAGCTGTCCTGCTAGCTGTCATCCTGTCAGCTCTAGGCACAACTACAAGTCACCTAGGGTGGGGACAAAGAAATATGGACTCAGGAGAAACAAGAATCGGAGTCTTTTTCTTTTTTTGCTTTTTTTGGTGAGGCAATCAGGGTTAAGTGACTTGCCCAGGGTCACACAGCTAGTAAGTGTCACGTGGAGTCTTTTTCTGAGAAGTGAGTTCAAACTCTGCTGGAAGGGTCATCCAGATTTGATCCCAACCCCTCTAACTCCAAATCCTCTTCCCAGAATGAATTACTGACCCGTATTTTATGACCAAAGTCACCAAAAGACCAGTTTAAAAACAAAACAAAAAACTCAAAACAAACCTTAGGACTCAAAGAGTAAATATCACTTTAGTGTGTCATTGTGCCAGATTCTCTAAAAATCATTTTACTGAGTTGAAAGCCCCTAATTAGAACAGCAGCAGCCTGTTTAATAAACAAACCATTATGCTGAAAGCAAATTTATCAACACAGGGACTATCTAGTATTTCGCTGACACTGGCTGGCATCAACTTGACATACTTTCTTATCTTCTGTGGTTAAAAACAACAACAAAGCCCCCAAGACCCAAAACCTTCAGGCGATATGATAAGCCTCCCAAACTCTCAAACCCCAGGAGAAGGCAAACAGCGTCATTCGTCTTCACCAGGGAAGGTTTAGGTCCTAAACTTCAGGAGATGATGCTCCTGAGCTCAGAAACTGGGTGAGTTTCACTTAGACCTGAAAATAACAGGTACCATGGTACCATGCTGATCCCTAGAGCGCAGTTAATAGTTCAGAGGCAGACAGCAATTTCATTACATTCAGGTCTCTTAACCCCACATGGATTGGAGAGAAAATCTGATGAAATTTCATGATGTACGATTCAATAGTCCATTCCCTACAGGTTACTATGGCTTTCTGGAGAGGACACAAAAGTGTTTTTTGACAAAAGAGTGTGTATGAAATGTAACTCAAGAGGGAATCGAATGAAATCATACCCACATGGGAATTCCTATCCCTGCACTCAGCATCCTTTGCCTCACAAGCCCACCTCTCCCTCTCTGCCACCCCACATTTGCTTTTGTTAGTTCCCCCCCGACTACCATCACCCAAATGAGGCTAACCTTTCATGCCTCATGTTTTCTGACCTCTTCCTCAATGGATTCCCTAGGAGGGTGGTACCAAAGTAGCATTATCCTTGAATTCCTCTCCCACCCCGGTCTTCTTAGAAAGAAGGGATGCTCAAAGAAAAGGAGACATCTCTTTTCTCTTTCATAGCCCACCCCACCCATTTTTTAAAATTTGCTATATAGTCCAATCCTAATTGACCTTCACCTCTGACAGATTCTCAGGTCAGCCTTGCAGGCAGACAGAACAGGTGCCTACCTAATTGGTGTGATTTTGGAGAAGCTAAAAGCCTTACCCATTTTCCAGATCGCTCTCTTATTGGCCTCCTAATTATGCATAGAACCTGCCACTAAGGTCACTCCTCTGGGTGAAGGCATTGAATCTAGAGTAAGGGTTCTCTACAATGTTTTTGGGAATGGTCCCCTTTGGCAGTCTGGTGAAGTCTGTGGGCCCTTTCTCAAAATACTGTTTTTAAGTGCATGTAATACAATACATAGGATTACAAAGCAAACCAATTATATCATAATAGTAACTAACATGAAATACGGTGCCAGGCACTGTGGTCAGCCCTTTATAAATTATTATCTCGTTTGATCCTCACAACAACCCTGGGAGGTAGGTGCTATTATTATCCCCATTTTACAGAGGAAGAAACTGTGGCAAACAGATGTTAAGTAACTTGCGCAGGGTCACACAGTCAGTAAGTGTCTAAGGCCAAATTTGAATTCAAGTCTTCCTGATTCCAGGCCCCTGGAGTTCTATCCCCTGTGTCACCTAGATGCTGTATCTCTATATATAATTTATACACACACATACATATATAATAGGTATACATATATATATATGCACATACACACACGTTTGTATGTATACGTATATATAGTTGTATATATATCCATATATCATATAGGAGATGATATGGGTTATATCATCTTAAAAATGATACCAAGCTCACAGACCCCAGGATAGGAATCCCCTGTTCTAGAGATTCCTGTTACGATGCAAGTATTACTACCTAGGCAAAATGACATATCAACCACCTATTAGGTCTAATTCCCTCCTCCCTAGTGTGTACCTGGAAAATGAACCAGATGGCAAGGGCTCTGTGCCCATGCTTACTCTGGCAAAGCTCCTCCACTGACCCGAGGTCACAGCTGTACTTCCAAATGGGGATTCTTGGGCTCAGGGTAGGCAAACATGCTGCCCTATTGAAGTCAGGGCTTGACCAGGTGGCTGGGCTCCTTTAAGGCCCAGACAGGAACCCCCCCTTTGCCACCCTCACCCCCCAGCCTCACTGGGCTGCCTAGAAAGTCTGGAGCAGACTGTTAACAGGTAGCAGTACTTCACAGGAAGTTTCTGTTGGCACAGTTTGCCCTTCTGGAAGACATTCTGGCTGTTACTTCTGACCTCTGCTCAATCTGTCATCCCTCTTGTTTCTTGTTTAAGCCCTCGCTCACTGACCATGCCTCTCTCTGGCTGTGCCTCCTATCACCTGGTTTTGATTTCCACTCCTAACCTCCCCTACTTTCTCCACTCCCTGCTCTAGTATGGATTCTTTACCCCATTTCCACTCCAAAGCCCTTCACCAATGAAATGAGAACTATCTCATTCCAACCCGAGGCCTATCATAGCCCTAAGATCTCCTAGAAAATCTCTGTTTACTGCCTCCATTGCCCCCTTTCACCTCATTTCTCACCGCGCGGCAATCTGGTTTCTGATTTCATCACTCAACTTCAGTGGCTTTTCCCAAAGTTATCAGTCACCTCTTAAACTGCCAAATCCTATGGCCTTTCCTCAGTCCTCCATCCTTCCTTACCTTTCTGCAGCATGGAATACCGTTCCTGCAAACTCTCTAGGATACTCTCTCCCCTGGTTCTCCTATATCTCTCACCACTCCTCATCTCCTTTGCGGGATGATAACCCATATTTGACTATTCGGGGTATCTCCCAAGGCTCTATCCTGGGCCCTCTTCTCTACACTGCCTCTCTTAGTGAGCTCATCAGCTCCCATGGAATCAATGATCTTCTCTATGTAGGTAACTCCAAATCTGCAGATCTAGCCCTAGCCTCTAGCTTAAGCCTCTCCTGAATCTCTTCAGTCACCATCACCACCTCTCTACTGGACATCCTCAACCAGTTATCCCACAGACAAGCCAAACACAACATTCTGAAAACAGAACCTGTCACCTTCCCTCTCCTCTAAACTTCTCTTCTTTTGTAGAAAGTGCCACTATCTTCCAGTCCTCCAATTTCCTAACCTTGAAGTCAGCCTCAACTCCTCATCCTCCCTCATTCCACATCCAATCAGTTGTCAAGACCTGTATAACCTCCACCTGTAACAACTCTCATGTCAGTCACATTCTCTCCACTCACAGCCCCTCCAGGCCTAAGCCTACTCTAATAAGCCCCCCCTTTCTTCTCCCATGTCTCTCCTCTCCAATCCATTCTCTATGCAGCTATCAAAGTGATAATTCTGAAGAACAAGCCTGACCATTCTACTTCTCTGCTCAATAAATTCTGATAGCCCTATTTCCTCTGGGATCAAATACAATCTCTTGTTTGGCATTTAAAGCCTTTCATGACCTGGGTTCAACCCATATTTATGATCTTTACATATCTATCTCCCTGTTTCTAACTCTACAATCCAACCAAATGGGCTTTCTTGCTCTTTGTCACACATAACACCCCATTTCCCACCTCCATTCCTTTGCCCCTCATCCCTGGAATGCCCTCCCTCTTCCTCTCTTATGAGCCTTCGTTTTCTTGGATGCTCAGCTCGAACTTCACTTCCTCTGTGAGGCCTTTCCTCATCTTCACAGCTGCTAGTACCTTGTATTAATTTTGTATAAACTTTTATAAGAGCTAATATTTACACAGTGCTTTAAGGTTTGCTAAGATACACACATATGTATATGTGTTTGTATACATGTATATATATATATGTATGTATGTATATATATTCCATACACATACATCTCCTTTGATCTTCACAACAATTCTATGAGATTTAAGTGCTATTATTATCACCAGTTTACAGATGAGATACATAGAGGTTAAGTGACCTGCCCAGAGTCATATTGTTAGCAAGTGTCTAAGACAGAATATGCCCTCAAGTCTTCTGACTCCAAGTCCAGGATTCTAGCTACTATTCCACCTAACAGCCTCAAGATGCCTTATACGTCTATATATCATCTCTTCTGATGGAAAGTAAGCTCCTTGAGGACAAAGACTGTTTCATTTTTGAATCCCTAGCATCCAGACGCTTAATAAATGCTGACTGATTGATTGATTGATTGATTGAGCTCATCAAACCAAATCCAGAACTGGAATAATGGTCATACACCATTTATTCATTCCTTAAACAATAATTTATCCATCAATCAATCAACATTTATTAAGTGCCTACTATGTGCCAGCACTGTGCTAGGTGATACACTGAGCAATTGTTTCATACAAGGCACTATATTTTGCCATTTTTTTCAAACTCATTCCCAGTGCCTGCTGCCTGGCCTGTCCACCCTGGAGGAAGATCCCTGGCCTTATGTGTCTGTTCTACTATAATAGCCTCCTAAATGGTTTTGCTCTCTAATAAGGAGGGAGCTTAAGTAACCAGCTCATGGTCACAGTTATTTGGAAGAGGAAAGATAATGATGTTAATTAAGACTTGGAGTCAAGCAGGACTTGGGTCCAAATTCTGCCCCCGATACTTTCTATCTAGATGTCTGACCAGGTGCAAATTATTTGACTTCTCTCTGAGTTTCAGTTTCCTCATCTATAAAATAAGGTTAATAAAAACCCACAGTAATGAGCACCCAGGGTTGTTGGATGGATCAAATGAGATAATGTAGCAAGTGCTATAGAAATGTTAGCTAATCATTCTCAGAGCCAGGATTCCAATCCAGATCTTCTCA